TAAGAACAACCTGAGTGTTTGTGTCTGTGTGTGTGTTTGAGTGCGTGTGTGTGTGTGTGTGTGTGTGTGTTGGCTGAGGCTGATCTAACACCTGTTTCTCCTCCAGTCACAGAGCTGTGTGTGTGTCGGCCACTGCGCTGTCTGGACTCCGTGTGGGACGTAAGCCTATCTTAGCACCTTTAGCATTGCATCTGTCATGGCTGCGTGTTACCTTTATCTGTTCTTGTGTCGTGATCTGTGTGCATCATTCCTACACGTGTCAGTCGCATTGTCCACTGAAAGCTGATTGACAAACCTGATGTTTGTAGAGCTCAGCGACGCCCCCTACCTGCCATTACCCGCTCGTGACGCCGCTGCACCGCCACCTGCTGCTCTTCAACAGGGTGAGTGAGTGCTATGGGATGATATTAGGCTCAAAATGATTAATAGATGCACGCACAATTATCCATGTACTGCATACATTTTATACATATATCTTACTAACCACAAACAAATGCCTTTCTATTTGAGTCTGTGGAATTCAGGATTAAATGATTGTGCAGCGATTTGTACAAATACAGACATGTTTGTGAATAAAAATGTTCTGTTCTGCATTAATATATCATAAATTGCTCAAGCAAAAAGGAATCCGTGCATATGTGGATCAGGTGACACGCGTGCATTAACTGACGTCTAGTTCGAGTCGATCTTGTTCGGTTCATTTAGATTTTGATACTTCATTTTCGCAGTTTACAGCATTTCACGTCCCCCCCACACACAACTACCAACAAACAAGGCCCAGTGCAATTCATTAACCTTGTCTTAAGACACAGAATAGCTTATATTAATTTTGCCGAACTTTGTACCTTGTTTTTTCTTTATTTCTGTAATTAAACGGCACGTTGTCAGTTATTCATTCCTTGTAATATTATTATTATTATTATATGATTTTTGGTATAGTGCCCAAACAAAATTTCACAGGAACCACAATTTTTGTGATATCAACTTCAAATTCGGAGCATAACTTTGTTAGACCGTTAGACTTAGATTTTTATAGCAATTTTAGAGCGCAACATATTTTATAAAATATTTATTTTATATAAAATAAAAAATTTTTTATTCTACATTATCTTTACTGTAAACTTAAACTTCTATAACTTTTTTATACTTTCTTTTTTAAAAATGCATTCACTTCAGCAATAATCTGCAATGTGTCTTCTTTAAAAGAGACCAACCTTAGGTCTGTCTTCCGAAATGTTCAGGAATTACAACCGTGTTGTAACAAGCATTGATAAACAACTGTTCTGTTTTCAGTTAATTTATCCCACAAAGGGGCAACGTATCCTGGGGGATACAAACATTAAAATCAAAAATAAGAGTCAAGATTTTTTTTAAAAATCTGGAAATTGTATTATTTGAGTCCCAATAAGATGGAAAATAGCAATAAATTAATTTTCTGATGCCTTTTTATGGTTTTGCCCTTTTTAGGGTTAATGTATCATGCCGCTCTACTGTAGGCTAGTGTTGTAATCACTTACTAAAACTATTAAAAAACGTTTTTGTTAAATTAAATAAAGCTAAAATAAAATATAAATATTCAAGGAAAAACTAAATGGAAATTAGAAATGTTGTCTTGGCAACTAAGAAAAACTACGTTTTTTAAAATAAAGTTCTAAAATTACTAACTATAAACTACAACTGAATATAAAATTAAAATGAATTAAAACTATTTCAGAATATTTTTAAGAAACCAAAAACTAATAAAGTTCCTAATAAAAATGCTAAAAATGTAAATATACTAGTGCTGTCAAACGATTAATTGCATCCATAATAAAAGTTTTTGTTTACATAATATATGTGTGTGTACTATGTATATCTAT